TGCTTTCTCTGCATTTGCCACACCTCAAATAAACTTTCACTTTGCACTATACAAGTTTTGAACTCCCCCTTTCTGCTAAGAGCCCCACTTTTTGATTTTTTTTTTTTTTTGGTTTTTCTCGGGTACCAGGAACCGAACACACGACCTTGCGCTTGCCAGGCAGGCGCTTTGCCACTGAGCTAAATCCCCAGCCCTCCCACTTTTTGATTTTTTGCTAGCGTGAAGGCAAGGACCTGAAGAGAGGCAGAGGGTTGGTCACTCAGAGACCTCCCACTGGACACAACATGAACAAGTAATCTTCCAGATCTATGAAAGCAGACAGGATATCCATGACCTGCTCCTCCAAGCTCCTGAGGAGGGATGGTTCATGGATGGAAGTAGCTTTGTCCAAGAAAGATATCAAAAGGCAAGTTATGCAGCTATCAGCTCATAACAGATCAATGAAGCTAGACCTCTTTCCCTAGGAACCTCTGCTCAAAATGCAGAGCTGGTAGCCCTTACCTGGGGATTGATGTTAGGAGAAGGCAGAAGGTTAAACATTTATATAGACTCCAGATATGCGTTTCTGGTGCTACATGTCCATGTTGCATCTGGAAAGCAACAGGTTCACATGACAAATAAACAATTATAAAACACAGACCAGAAATTCTGTAACTCCTAGAGGCAGTCCATATTCCCAGACAGGTCACACAGTCATGCAGCATAAAGGACACCAGAGACAGATATCCAAAATCTCTCTGGGAAATGAAAAAGCTGATAGGAAGGCAAAAAGGGCAGCCATATAGCCACTAAAACTCTAGCCTTATTCCCAGTTCTTGAGGAACCATTAAAACCAGTCTATATTTCCTAGGAAGATAAATGGGCATTAGGACAAGAAGGAATTAAAAAGGGATTCTGGTGGTATTTAGGCAACAAGCTGGTTCTTTCCCAAGGGATATAGTGGAAAGCTATAAAAACACCTTATGATTCCTTCTGTATGGAAAGAAATGGAAATGGTCACTACACTGGAAATGGTTAATTTTTCACAGGACTAGGACTAGCTACAACCACCAAACAGGTTGACAAAGCTTGCCCACTTTGTGCCTACAATAGCCTGGGCAAGCCCAAACTGCCTCCTTCATTGGAAGCTATATAGAGGAAAGGGATCAATAACCTGGAGAGGACTGGCAATTAGACTTTACCCATATGCCACCATGGAGAGGATTTAAATAGATGTTGGTCCTAATTAACACCTTCACAGGCTGGATTGAAGCCTTCCTTACCCATTCAGAAAAGGCTACTGAGGTAGTCAAGGTGCTTCTTAAAGAAATTGTCCCCAAGTTTGCACTACGCAGTCTCTCCAGAGTGACAGTGAACCTTCTTTTACCTCCCAAATAACTCAGGGAGGAGCAAAGGGTTTAGGAATAAAGTAACACCTTCATTCCACTTGGCAGCCTCAATCTTCTGGCAAGGTAGAGAGAGCCAACCAAATCCTAAAGAAAGCTCTAGCAAAATTTTGCCAGCAGACATCTGAGTCCTGGGCCTGACTGCTACCAATAGCACCCATGAGGCAAGCTTTCGCCCGTGCCTAAAACTGGGCTAAGTTTGAGCCCATGTGAGATGTTACATGGAAGTCCATTTCTATCCTCTGATATGACAGCAGATCCAGAGACTATGAGCCTCTTACAATATCTCCTCAATCTGGAACAAACACAACAAGCTATCCAAATATATGGGAACAGAGTCCTGCCAGCTCCTGATCCAGGGAGACCACCTAGTGTCTGCCCTGGAGAGTAACTGCTTGTGAAAACTTGGAGAGAGGGAACACCAGCAGACCAGTTAAAGCCAAAATGGAAAGGCCCCTTCTCAGTGATCCTTGCAACATCCACTGCAGTAAAAGTGGCACAGACAGATAATTAGATTCATCTTTCTAGATTAAAACTGGTCCCAAATTAATTGTCTAAGGACCAAGATTGCCCAAAAGGCAAAAACTACTCCTGTGAGCCTCTGAAAGACTCGAGAGTTCTCTTCAAAAATGAAGACTTCATTGCTGCTACAGATAAACAAACAAGATCTTGCCAAGGCCATGGCTCTCAGATTTGATAATTTATCTGACATACCTCTCTAACATACATTCTTCTCTACAGGAAATATGGCAATCTGACCTGCTCCTCATATTTGAGCTAATAAAGTTTCTCTCACCAAACAGGCAGTTTGAGGGTCACTAACTCTTTTCTTATTTTCTGACAGGTTCTTTCCTCAACCCAGCCATGAGCCACAACACCTCAAGATAGTTGGTGAATACATAATCCATAGTAGATAGGGTCTACAGCCCCTTCCAGCTCAAGGAAGCTATAGAAGACAGAGACTACCACTCCCTCAGCACCCCATAAAGATTTATGGGATTTATGTCTCTCAGGGGGATATGATATAGGAAGTAGGGCATGGCAAAGCTGGCTGGGGAAATAAGTGGGACCTGTCAATTACAAGATCTCAGGCCAGCACCAAATCATTCTCAGGACCCTATATGTGCAACTTCTTGTGGGCTCCCATGAGATGTGGATGGCATAAAAGAGATGAGATGCACAAGGAGCCCACTGTCGTGACTTTTCACGGTAGCCCACCCTGTGTCTACTCCGCATCTCCTTTCCTCTCTTTGTTCAGCCCGAGTTTTCCCTACAGAGCTAATTCCTCCCTTATCCTGTTCACCCCTCACTTTTGAAATAAGCTTTTGGCATCGTTTGTAGCTTGTCACATCCAATTCTTTGTTCGAGGCAAGAAGGACCTGAAATACTTTTAATTGGTCAGCCATTTCTAAAAGAACTACCTGACAAGGTGACCAAAGCCTCTGCTGTCACTATCTTGAATGCTCAGGGTCTCTGAACTTGAGCTTTGTTAAGTGAGGTCCTGTGGGACATGGGAGCATGGGCACGAGCAGAGGAGACACATCCATATCTGCCCACTGTACTCACCCTGCCTTACCCCCTGAGCACAGAGTCCTGGCAGACCTATAACATGCAGATGAGTAAGACAACAACCAAACATGTGCAGATATGCTTGTCACGTCGATGATGACAGAGAAAGGAACATGGACAACCCAGAAGCCTTACTTTCCACCCAAACATGCTTCCAACACAGAAAGAAGGCAATGAAGCCTAAACAACAGAAACAGGAGCCCTGTTACCTGTTCTCACTAAGGTTCTGTGCCACATGGGACATTCTCCAAAACAGATCACAGAACATGCTTAAGTATATGCAAAGGAAGTGAAATTATCCCATCCATATTATCAGTCCATAGTGCAATGAAATTGGAAATCAATGGCAAAAGAAACTAAAAGAACTTCATAAACACATAGAAATTAAATAACACCTTCCTGAACAACCAATGGGTCACAGATGAAATTAAAGAAGAAATTAGACAATTTCTACAATTAAATGATAATGACAATACAACATACTGGACTTATGGGACACAATGAAAGCAGGCCCAAGAGGGGAATTTACAGCAGTGGATACCTGTATCAGGAAAACAGAGCAAGCTCAAACAAACAACTTAATGTTGAACTTCAAACTTCCAGAAAAAGAAGAGTAGGCCAAGCCCAAAGCTTGTATGAGAGAGGAAATTATAATGATTAGAGCAGAAATTAACGCATTGGAGACTAAGGAAACAATACAAAGAAGCAATGAATTGCGGAGTTGGTTCTTGGAAAAAGTAAATAAAATTGACAGACCCTTAGCCAACCTTATTAACAAAAGGAAAGACTCAAATAAATCTACACAATTAGGAATGAAAAGGGTAAAATCACAACAGACCTTGCAGAAATCCAGAAGATCATCTATACCTACTTTGAGAACTTTATTCTAATAAGATAGAAAATGCAGAAGAAATGGAAAGATTCCTAGATATATATGAATTACCAAAGCTGAATCAAGATGATATAAAAATCCTAAATAAACCAATATCTATCAATGAAATCAAAGATGTAATTAAAAACCTACTAAGGTTCTGTGCTGGTCAGAGTCAGCTACTTGGCTAACAAGAGTGACATGGGAGAAAGAGGAAAGAAAGGCTACTGCAGAGCTCTTCCTGCTTGCGGTCCTTCCTTACTCCTCAGTATGCTGAAGGCAGGGTGAATGTATTAAGGAAGTAAATAACTTTGGAAATAACAGAGTGAGTGTGAGTAGCATCTCTACTGCTTAGTGAATGTGCATGCTGAAAGAGGAATCATGCATATTCTTATATGTTTTTGTTTTTTCTCCGGTACCGGGAACCGAACTCACGACCTTGCGCTTGCCAGGCAGTCGCTTTGCCGCTGAGCTAAATCCCCAGCTCTGCATATTCTTATATGTATTTGCATTTAAAACTAGAGTTCATGGCAGTGGCAGAGCCCTTGTCCGGTACATGCAGAACTCTGGGTTCAATCCCTTGCACTGCAAAATGGGAGCTGTGCATGTGAAGATGGGAGATAAAATGTATGCTAATGACTTAAATTAAAATTTTTTCTTATGTAAAACATTAAAGAGGAAATATCTTGGCAAATTAAGAGATGATGAAAGATAGGAAAAAGCTCTCAATTTCAGTTCCCCTGCTTCTCACTGGGATGTGTGGCCTTCCTCAAGCTTCACGCCCTCTGTAGCCTTTGCCCTTCTCACAACTACACACTTCTCTGAGAATGTCAGAGATGACTGGCTACACACGAGTCCTTCCTGCACAAGTGGAGAGAGGCAGCTTCAGGAGGTAAGGCTGCCTACTAACCAAGAGAGGAAGCGAGAAAGGTGTTCCTTGCCAGGTGGCTGGCTTTGCCTGTGTCTTCTGCTCAGAGTGTCCTTCTTTCTCACCTGCATCCGCGAGCTCCTGCACAGGAGTCCCCTCCAGGGGGACCTTGGGGCCCTGGTCTTGCACTTATTGGGCCCCTCTGTGTCCTTTCTCCCTGGCACTCTGGTGCCACCATCTGCCTCCCCTTCTCCCTGCACTGTGACCTGGAGGTCAGGGTATAGCATCCAGGCTGGGGGAGACTTACTCGAGGAACCTGGTGATGTATTCGCTGCTGCAGCGGGACCAGGTGAGCGGGGCAGAGTCGTACAGGAGCTGTGGAGACATGATGAAATGCAGTTTCCCAACAGGCTCACAGTCATTGCCGCTTCCGTCATGATGCATGCCAAAACTGTGTGAGAGCACAGGCCCCAGGGGCGGGTGAGCTGGGGAGAGGCCATAGGCTACCCTTTCCCCAAGGCCCCCCTAGGTTGGCTGTGCCACTGGATGGCTGTGTGTCCTCTCTGAGCCCACTGTGGGTGTGATAGCTGGTGTCCCCTGAGCTCTTCCATCAGGTGCATTAGCCTTAGCTTGACATGTGGGCCAGGAACCCAGAGCAGCTCTGTCCAAAAACGGAGAGCAGGTGGCATAGCTGGGAGCCCATTATGGCCGTGCAATCTCACCCACACCAAGAGCTGGCCCCTTAGCCCTTGTCCTGAGGTATGTCCTTGAGTCAAGAGATCCAAGCTACCACCTTCCAGAAAGCTTCCCAGAGACCACTCTAGAGAAGGACACGGGAAAATATTCTCCCTCAAGGCTTGTTCTGAGGTGGCATCGCCTCAGTCTGCACCATTGCTCCCACAGGGCCAAGGACTGAGCCCAGTAACAGCTAAGAAGTGGCAGAATTGGGCAGAGACCTCTTCTACCAATGCCTTCATGGCCATAGGTGAGGCTGTCACCAGAACATCTGAGAGGATGACTCCACACCTGTCCTGCCCTGACCAGCCTGCTGGACAGCAAAGGTGCCACTATATTCAGCAGCTAAGTAGCCTGGGCACAGATGGCAGAGGGCATGAGCCATGCCCTACATGAGCCCCAGGCCCTGGTGTCAGATGGGGCATCTTGGACATCACTGTCTACCCCTCAATCTGTGGGGAGCACACAGAAGGCCGGGACTTGGCACTTGCCCTGGTCATGGAGCAGAAGCAACAGGGACAGCTAAGGCCTCCGGGCCCATCCTAAACCTCTTTGAAGAACAGCGCACTGGCTTTCCTCCTGCTCAACAAGGCAGCAGCCTGGCCGAGGGGTGGATGGGGACATTGCAGGGGGCTGTATGTTGCCTGGTGCACTTGGGGCTCCCTCACTACTAAGTTTAATTTCTTCATTATTTCATGACCTATGGATCTGGTTGGCTGGTGCCCCAGTGTGGAAAGCTGAAGTTGGGGTCTGGGGTGGCAGAGAGGAGAGGTGTGGTACCTGTGCCCGAGCTCATGGGCCACGGTGAAGGCCAGCGGTAGGCCAGTGTCCTCGCTGATGCTGCAGCTGTGGTTCAGCTGGCACATACCTCCCACGTGAGATAGGCCCAGGGTCTCGCAGGGCTGGTTCATGGCTAAACACAAGTCCTTCCTGCATAGGTGGAGAGACGCAGCCTTCAGAGCAGGCCAGGCAGGGCCTGTGCTCACCCAAGAGAGGGCTTGAGAGGTATGCCCCTTGCCATCTTGTGACATCAGGTCAACATGGTGCCATGGCAAAGCAGGTGCCCTCAGTCACACACAACCCATCAAACACCCATACGGGCCTGGGGTACAGACGCGTGCCCAGAGCAGGTTTGTTCCTATCTCAGTTAAGGTGCTGATAGAAGCTGCCAGTGCTCAGCAGAGGGAAAACAAGTCCATCTGGAGCTCAAACACATGGCCTCTGGTCAGATGAGTAGATGCCAGAGGTGGGGGATGGGCTGGCAGCTGTGACATAAACAGGTGGCATGAGAAACCCTTCTGATGCGACTGCTCTGTATCTGGATTGTGGGAGTGGACATGTGAACCTGCACGTAGTTGTGCAATGTGCACACTCATACACACACATACCTGATGAGAGCTCACTAAGTGGATTACATCCATGCCATGCAGGATGTTACCAGTGGGCGAATAGCACAGAGGAGAGACTCTGCATTGCTTTGGATAACCTAATGCAAATTCACAATTACTCTGAAACAGAAAGACTACCCAATGCTGATAGAATCCAGCCTCAGGCCAAAGCTGTACACAAGTCTGAACAGATGCACCCCACCCCAGCACCTCCCTGGGGCAGCCTTCCTGCCCCATCCCCTGTGGCAGGTGTACCTTGTGAGCAAGATGGCTGTGTCATGGTGCTGGGGGTGGGCGTCCCCCTTCATGTTGATGTTTTTCTGCCACTTGCAGAAGCTCCGCAGGGTGTTGTCTGCATGGTGTGTGATCTTTAAGTCCTTCTGAAGCAGAAAGAGCGACCATTCATGCCTGCCCTGCACTCCTACAGGACAGGCTCGATTCTCACCATACAAAGGTGAGAGACAGCAGTGTGGGGAGTAGTGGGAGGACAAGCAGTTGGGCTCCAGCCTCCACCCTTCCTGCAGGTACCTCCTAGGGGACTAGAGACTCAGCAGAGGGACAGTCAGGGACCAGTCAGGGTAACAGAGGAAACTGTCTAGGTTCAGGGGCCTTTGCTGTGCATTTCCATACAGGGAAGCTCAGGGTACAGGCAGGAGGGCTCAGCAGCCAGTGCCAGGAGGCAGTATGGAGCCATACGGCCTCTCACCTCTTCATCTTCCAGCAGGATCAGGCGCACAATGGTGATGTGGATGGGGTTCCCAATGCTGGGGTCATGAAACAGGCCAGCCACCTGCCCAAGAGATGTGGCTTGTTATGGTTTATATCTAGATGTCTCCTAAGAGCCTCATGTACTCAGTGGTGGGCTTTTGTAAAGTGACTGGATTATTGGGGGTTATAGCTGACTTGCTATCAGGAGACAGGTAGGTCCCTGGGGAATGGCCTGGAAGTGTTTATCTCTCTCCCTAGACCCTCTCTTTTCTCTCTCTGCTTTCTGTCTGCCATGACATGAACAGATTTTCTGCTTCATGCTGTCCTGTCTTGAAGCTAGCTGACCATGAACTGAAATGTGAGCCAAAATAAACCTCTCCTCTTTAAGTTGTGGGTGTTGGGTACTTTGTCCCAGCAAAGAAGAAAGTGACTAAGATAGATTTTGATACCAGAGAAGTGGGATTGTTGCTGTGACACTACCTGACTAGGTAGTTCAGAAGCCTTTGGAATTGAAGGAGTTTGGAACAGAAGGAGTTTGGAAAGGTTTAATGATGCTGGCTGGAGATGCTGATTGGAGAGTCTGGGCAGAGCTCAAAGACCAGAATGCTGATAAGAAGGTAGATAGTAAAGACCAGGCTCAAGAGGTTTCAGTTGGAACAGACTCCATTAGCATTTGGACTCCTGACCATGTATATTATGCTCTGGCAGAAAATTTATCTATGTTTTGCTCATATCCTCATGCTCTTTGGGAGACAGAGATTAAGGGTGGAGGACCAATTAACCTGGAAGATGAAGTTTCAAGGCAGCTCAACATCTAGGCTGTGGCATGGGTACTGCTGAGAGCTTTTAGACTGCTCTACAATGAGAATCAAGAGCAAACACCACAGCTGAGTGATTTTAGAAGTTCCCACTGGAAAGGAAGGTCCTGTTAAGTTAGGGTCTAAAAATATGGAGGACAAGAGAGTCTGAATGAAAAGTTTAGTATTAAAAAGAAGCCAAGTACTTTATCAGGACAATAGGAAGAATAAGTTAATGGCATGTCAGGAATCAACAAGATCTCATCCTTCCTTCTTAGGCTCAAAATTGCAAAAGTGAGACTTTTCTTTGAGAAGAGAGCCCCACGGTACCCTGCTAGAAAAAGACACCTAGAAAACTGGCTTCCTGGGGTTCTGTTCATGGTGCTCAAACATCAAGGCAGTTAAGAGGTCTCTGGAATCATGTTGCAAAAGGGCTGTTGGAGCTGGCAGCTGCATACCTTGGTATCATCTATGTGGTGCTGGTTTTATAGGCATGGAGAATGTTATACAATTGTGGAAGCTTCCAGCCAGATTTCAGATGAAGGTCTGGAAGGCTGGGCTGTGTGCCCCTGAGAGGGCTGTGTGTGAAGCTAGGAGAGTAAAGCCAAAAGCACAGTGGAGACCCCAGGAAGATGGAGAAGCCAGGAACATGGAATGTCTGGGAAAGATACAGGCAATCAGCAGAGCCATGCTAAGAGAAAAGTCATGAGGGCTACAATCACTGGCAATACCTAGGGGTGGGACTGCCCAAGCCATCTGGAGTTCATATCACCACAGATTGCCCTGGATACTGGACATGGAGTTATAGGACTTAAATGTTTGCCCTGCTGTGTTTCATTGTGCTTTGGTCCTATTGTTTCTATTCCCATTCTTCCCTTTTGGAAGGGGAATGTCTACCCTGTGCCATTGTATGTGCCGTTGTATGGCTGCAATTTTTAACTTTCTTTTGATTTTTATAGGGGCTCACAGCTAAGAATTTGCCTTAAGCCTCAGAGGGGTCTTTGGACTTGGATTTTGCAGCAGTACTGAGACGATTAGAGCTTCAGTAACTCAGAGATGGACTGAAAGGATTTTGCAAAAAGGGATGTGCATGAGTCTTTTAGTGGCTATGGGTAGAATGTTATGGTTTATGTGAATATGTCCTCTAAGAGCCTCATATGCTTATAGGTGGGGCTTCTGGAAGACGGTTGGATTGTGGGGATTCATAGCTGGAGAGAAGGGGCTGGGGATTTAGCTCAGCGGCAAAGTGCCTGCCTGGCAAGTGCAAGGTCATGAGTTTGGTTCCCGGTACCGGAGAAAAACCAAAAAACAAAACAAAACAAAACAAAACATAGCTGGAGAGAAACAGGACTGTACAGAGGTCTGTGTGGGGCTGCTGAGTGCACTAGGGCTGAGTTTTCTCAAGGGGCCATAGGAGCAGCCTGGCTTCCCTATCTGTCCCTCAGAGAGGGCACCGCTGGCCCTGCCATCAACTGTGGGAGCCACAGTGCTCCATGCCAGTGAGCCTTAGCAGACCTGGTATCTGTGCTGCTCTCCAGTGATATGCTCCAGTGAGTGGCCTTGCAAGCCACTTGCTTCTTGGGGCCCTGCTGACTCAAGTGGCATGTGGGACTAAAAGCAGTTTTCCAGCCCCATGAGGTGCTACCTTCTTCCCTCGTTCACAGATGAATTACTTGCCCAAGGTTACCAGATGATCAGCCAAGAACTAAGCACATCCTTGTCCCTCTAATGCATGTATGAGTCTAGGCAGGGCACATCTGTGTCCCCAGCACCCAGCACAGGTTTGGACACAGGAGAAGGTTTGGCTCAGGGCAGGCTGAATGAGTCACATGGTCCATGACCTCCCCAGGCAGCACAGAACAGTGTCCATCTCGGTGTGCCCTTCCCCTCCCAAGTGCCAGCAGGGCCAGTGAATGGCATGGCACCCATAATGTCCCCATGCAGGACCCTACCTGGCACCCTGGGTGGCCAATAGCAGGGAAGAGGCATGTGCCGTGCCACTGGATGATGTTTGAGGAGCCTTGTGCTACTGCCCTATGCCGCTGCTCTCTTCTGCTGCCCCTACCAGGCCATGTCCCCTGTGGACTTGGAAACCTCCTTCCTTCCTGCTTGGGGCTTGGACCTGGATCCAGGGTGCAGCCTGCCAGCTACTCCACCCCACACCCACCTTGACCACCACCCACTGCAGTCCCTCACCTCCCCCATCAAATACCATTGCTACCACTGTGACGGTCTCACCATATTCATGATGGTCAGCACGTAGTTCTCCACCTGTGGCTGTCCATGGTATTCCACCATTTTAGTGTCAGCCACCACCAAGGTTTCTACCCACTTCTCCTTGCTGACTGAGCCGTGGTACAAACGCTTCTGCCGCTGTTGCTTCCCCGGCCTTGGCTGCTCCGGGTCCTCTTGTTGATGTTCCAGCTCTGTAGACATTAAGGGCTCTGATGGGGTGGGGTTAACTGGCACAGGGCCCATGTCCCCAGGGCCTTTCCCAAGTGAGCTGTCTTTGGCATGGTGCAAACAGAACCGAATCACAAGGGAGAGGCCTTATTCCCTCCCTGGGGCTGCTCCAGACTGTGCTGTGTGGCCCTGGCCTGGTTATGTCCTTTCTCTGATCCTGATTTCCAGGATTACTCCTACAAATAAGATTAGCTTAGGTACCTCCACCGTGACCTAGTGTATATGCATATGAGGCTGTCCTGTGTCCCCAAATTTCTCTCCCTGACACTGCATGCAGACCCCTGGTTTAACCTCTATCCTGGGAGGACCAAGACTCAATCCAGCTGATCTCGCTGAGGGTCCACTGCGTTGGAGAAGCACATCCATAAGTTGGGGAAACTGAGGCCAAGAGGTATGTCTATGTGGACATCTCTTCTGGCAAACAGAATCCCTGAGTGGTGGGCAGGCTGGGGTTAGTGTTAGCCAAGCAGTCCTCAGACTCCAGCAGCCCTCAGTGGTCAGCTTCTTTCCTGGACTGGCTGGCACTATGGCCACGCTGCAAAGGGGGCCCTAGGTACTGTGCTGTAGGTCCTCAGTGACAGAGTCAGTTGTCTGGAATCAGAACAGGGAGGGGAGGGTCTAGCCAAGGGCTTGCTGGGGTTGGTCGGGACACTTGAAGAATAGTGGTTGGCAGAGCCAGGGATGCCACAGCCATGTGGTGGGGGAGTGGAGAAGAGACTAGGGGTGGGGTGAAAGGTCAGGCCAGGCCCATGGGCATCTAAAGGCCTGGACTATGGTCACATGTCTGCCTGTCCTTCTGTGTGGGGATGTTGCATGAGGCTTCCAGAAAGGTTTTCCAAATCCCCAGGCCCTCTGGTGCCACAAGCTACGGGGATGAACATACCTTGTACCCCACAGGTACGTGAAGCCTGGATGTCACCTTGCTCTGCCCACCTCTCAGGGGTCTGGCGCTTGTACACCACGTGAGGCCATGCATGGCCGGGCTGGTTTGGAGCCCTGTCCAGGGGTTCAATGAAGTAGTCCTCATCAGAGAGCCAGAAAACTCCCTTCTGGAGAAGAAGCAGCAGGGTCACACAGGGAGGGCTGGTGCCTGGCTGCCCTTCCTAATGCCCCAGATAGCCCTCCCTGCCCCGCTGAGCCCTTCCTGTGTCTGCCACAGATAGGCACAGAGCTTCTCTCCCTCCGGGACTTTGTCCATACTCTGTCCTCTGCCAGAATGTCCTTCTCTGCCCTCTGCACAGTCAGAGGCTTTGCAGCAGAGTTCAGAGACCCACTCTTAGCATGCTGTGCCCCAGGCCCACCCCATCAGGAGGAAGAAATGGTCTGCGCCTAAATCTGTGGACAGTGGTCCCTGCAGAGTCCCATACATTGTCTCTAGTCCAGCAGCCCGTGCCCAGGCTTTCAGGCTACTTTGCTTCTCCAGCCACCAGGCTCTTTCCAGATGACCAGAGCCTCTGATCTGCCCACCAGGGCCTCTCTGATGTGGTAGTTACTCCACGAGTAGCTCTGTCCACATCCACGCCACTGAGATGTTCATGGCCACCAGGACAGCCCACTCCCTGGGGTCAGGCTGGCCAGAGATGGGAAACAGACTGAGGGGCCTTGGCATGTCCACCCAGAAAAGGGAAGGAATGGGAAGCATCTTAAGGCAGCCAACCTCCCCATGATGTTCAGGACCCCAACTGGAAGAAGGTGTTACCTTCCTCTGATCTCCCCTCTCTGGTACCAAATCTACCCTTGCTTGGGTCACACAGGCCCAAGGAGCTTGGAAGGCAGGACTGTGCATTCTCTCTGGGGACTGGAGTCTGAATGCAGTTTCTAGCCCTGAACGACCAGGGACCTTGGACAAGTTCTTCTCTGAGCAGTTTCCTCATCTGTAAAACCATGCATGATATGCACAGATGCTGTCCAGACTCCCTAAGGTGTTACTGGGCAGGCACAACTCCATGCATGAGAAGGTGGGGTATGGGCCCTCCAAGGCCTGGGTTCTGCAGCCTGTGCTAGGGGTTGCTCCGTCCTTAGGACCTCGGCCACCACAGCTCGAGACATCAATGCGAGGGCCCTACAGGAACAGTGGATGACCGAGAACGTGTGCCTATCCACACTGCTCCCACACCTCACCCTCAGAGCCGGGAGGGCAGCATTGGGCACGAAACAGGAGCAGAATGGGCCCTGTGCCACCCTTAGCAGGAATGGCTCTGACACCTGCAGCATGGGAGGCAATTAGGGTACAAGGCCCGGAAACTGAGGCCTGCTTTCCCAGAGCTCTGGTCTGGGTGGAGGGCCTGAGGGGCCTGAAGATCCCTGCAGAGTGCTTAAAGAGCAAGGGAGGGGTCATGGTGGTTGACACCTAGATGTCTCTCATGTGCTCAGAGATGAGGCTTGTGGAAGATGCCTGGATGACGGGCTTACAGTTGGCTTGAGGTTATGAGATGGGCCCTTGCCTGGGTCTATCTCGCTCCCTGGTTACACCCTCTGCTCTCTTTGTTGTTGGGCTTAGCCTGCCATGTGGTGTTTTGTCCACCAGGCCCCTCTGCCATCATTTCTTCTTTGGAGTCTGCAGACAATGGATTGGAACATGAGCCAGAATAAATCTCTCCTTTAAGAATCGTGGGTGTCAGGGATGGTGTCTCAGTGATGAGGAACTAACCCAAGGGGCTGGTCCAGGGAAAACTAAGGAGGAGCAGCCCCAGTTGACACCAAACCAAGAGGGTCACAAACTAATGCTCTAGGTGGGGCCGCAGTGTCAGTGCTGCCTGGGATGGTTTTTTTTTGGGGGGGGGGTACTGGGGATCGAACCCAGGACCTTGTGCTTGCCAGGAGGCAGGCGCTTGTGCCACTGAACTATATCCCCGGCCCCTGGGATGTTCTCAGAAGGGCAAGTGCCAGGCCCCTCCCACACTTGCCTCTTAAAACCCAAGAGTGATTCTGAGTTAGGTAAAACTTTGGAACCTGCTGTCCTAGTGAACAACAGGCCGTGTGCTATCACTTCTATTAAGAAGACTGGCAGAGGAAGACACAGGAGGTGACCAAATCACCAGGCCAGGCAGGGTTCCTGGCACTCACCAGCCCATCACAGGCGCTGATGGCCGCACGGCCGCCCTGGCGCTGTGGGTCCTGCACATGGCCCAGCAGATGGCACGTAGGCGTGTAGGGCCGGATGTGCGCGTGGCCCAGGCCACCAGCTCGACGTGTCTCGAGCACAAAGCCTGGTGCCAGCAGCTGTGCATTGGCGGAGAGGTTGAAGCGTAGCTCGCGCCCGCGGTAGCGCAGCTGGAAGAAGGTAGGCGCGGTGCGGGGTGCAAACCCCAAACCTGAATCTGAATCTGGAGCTGCCCGCTTCTGCACCGTGTGTGGCCAGAGCTCGAAGGACAGGAAGGTGCCGGTCTCGTCCACGCGCACTGGGTGCACAACGTCCAAGGACGCCAGGCTGTCAGTTGCAGGCTCTGCTGGGAAAGAGAAAACCATGACTGTGGGACCTGAGGAGTAGCAGTGAAAGGGTCCTGCACCAGGGCTCCTGGGTGCAGGTCCTGCCGTGTGCCCACTAACTCTGCCACTTCATCTCTGGTGACTTCTCAGGTGCCCTGCCATCTACCTGGGACCCCTTCAAAAGGCATGTTCCAGCACTGCAGCCAGGATGCCTTCAAAAGACTCTTGATCTGATGACCAATGTCCTCCTCTGTTTGGAACCTGCAGCCGCTCCCGTCTCATTAGAGAGATACAGTTCTGGGGGTGGCACAGGAGCCCCAGGGAGGGGATGGCGCCAGCCTAGCCTCCAGCAATGCTTCCCTGCACCTCTGTGCTCAGCCGTGGCCTCCCTGAAGCTCCTGGACAGCCCACACCAGCTCCTGCTTCACAGGTTTGCACCCTGTTCCAGCCTGAGCACTCTTCCCAGTTTCCCATGGACTAACTTCATCTGCTTGCCTGAGCTCCAGGCTTCCTTCTCAGTGAAACCAAATGCTGACATTCCCACCCCTAGCACTCTGACGCACATTTTCCTTATGTTTTCTATTTGTTTTCTTCCACTCCTTCCAGCAGGAACTCTAGAAAGGCAAAGATGTTTATATTCTTCGCTGATGATGTTAAGTATTGTAGGTGGAGATATTTGTTGACTGAATCTGCAGAATGGGGAAAATAATAGAACTTACTCTCGGGGCTGTGAGGAGTGGATGAATTGAGTTCTCCACACAGCGCCTGACCTGCTGGCTGAGCCTGGAGGCCAAGATGATGCTTATAATCACTACTATAAAACATGCTGCCACCCGCCTGAGGGTACTGCAGGTGTCTCCAAGCCTCCTGGGGTTGGGAGATAGAGAATGATGAGGAGGGGGAGGAGACTGTCAGACTTCTGAACCCACCACTTCAAAGGAGCAGCTCTGGTTTCTTTTAGATGGAAGAGCTAGCCAGCCAGAGTGGCTCACAGCCTGTAACTTCAGCTTATTCTGGAGGCTGCGGGAGGAGGACTGCAAGTTTGAGACCAGCTTATATGACTTAGCAGGACTGTCTCAAAATTAAATAAAAATGCCTGGGGATGTAGCCTAGTGGTAGAGCTTCCCAGCACGCCCATGTGCAGGCATCCCACCCTCGACCCTACACACAAAGCAGAGAGTAACATTATGTAGTCCTTTATACATTCATTAAATAAGACCTAATGGGAAACTCGGCAACTATGGTAATTTTGAAGTTTTGATGAGTGTGTGCCTTGAGTTACCTGCAACTGTAATGAGAGAAGAATGTTCTTTTCCCACTGGTAGCATCATCACAGATGCTGCTAATACTACTCAGACTTGTTGGTGATATTTGTGATTGAAGGAGATAATGAGTTTCACTTGGAGATTAGGATGATTACAGCCAGGTGTGGTGGTGCACACCTGTGATCCCAGCACTCAGGAGGCTGAGGCAGGAGGATCATTGTGAGTTTGAGGCCAGCCTGGGCTATGTACTGAGTTTAAAGGCAGCCTGAACTGCACAGTGAGACTCTGTCTAAAAAGTCTCAGCATTTGGGAGGCCGAGGTAGGAGGATTGCTGGGAGTTCGAGGCCAGCCTGGACTACAAAGTGAATTCAAGGCCAGCCTGAACTGTATTGCAAGACCTTGTCTCAAAAAAAGACAACAAGAACAAAAGACCGAAAAAAAAAAAAAAAGGAACAAAAAAGAAAAATTAGAGATGTAATGTTTTTGAAATCCAAGTTTATAGATCTCTGAAAGTCATGGTCCCTTAGGTTGTAGACACCAGGTTGAGATACCTATAGTAAGATCTCCCAGACCTGTGATGGTGAACCTTTTAGAGCTTCCAATGATACAAACAGCCCACTGTGGTGCATGTACCATAGGCTTGCACCACTATGACCTAGACTGTCTCCCAAGTGAGAAAGCAAGGAAAAGAAGGCTCACGGAGGTAGAGAGACAGGGTTGAAGGCACCCCGTGAGCTTGGCAGAACTGAGACTTGAGTGTACATATTCTGAATGGTTTTTGTCTCTTCAGTAATAGTCCTCTATTTTCTCAGCAGTTTGTCCCAGGGACGGCCTCAGCTTCCCCATCATTAATGGGATTTTTGAAACTTCTTTGACCACCATATCGAATCTCAAAAAGAATCTCATGTGGATGCCTACACACACTAGAGTAGTGTTGTTCGGGGGCAGTGTGGGGCACTCGGGATCCATGCTCTTGTCCTCTGTTTCCCTTTGCAGCCCCCAGCTCTGACAGGTAGTCAGAAAACTCACCAAGCTGAGGTTTCTCCCAGCCTCAGGTCCCTCAAGGACCTGCCAGGTTTAAGCCCAGCTCTTGGACCCTGACCAGTCACGACAGGGACTGCTGAAGTCCACAGCAATGCCTAGTGCCCTGCAGCGTCCCACCAGGACTCTGCTGCCTGCCAAAGCTGGAAGGGAGGCTGGGCCAAGGCTAGAGGCTCCCCACAGCCACACTGCAGAGCCAAACTCATCCTCTCTGCATCTCCTGTGTCACGGGTATGCGGAGTACCCAGCACATGCCAGCCATGTGCCTGCTACTGCAGGCGTCACACAGCCCACAGACGTCCTGACGGGCAGGCCCCAAAGAGCCTTCTCTGGGAGTCCCTGGCACGTGGGCCGGGGAGACTGGCCTGTGGCTCTGAGCAAGTGTTTCCAAGCAAGTGTTTCCATCAGTGAGCTTCAGGGGGGCGAGTACAAAGATTTTCCAGACTTCCTGGACAAGAATGTCTTTAAAAACGTCCCAGGCCCCATCCCAGGCTCACTGACTCAGCAGCGCCAGGAAACAGGACTAGGAAGCTGTGTTTTTATCAGTAGCCTGGGGGAACTCTGAGTATGAGGCAAGTTAGGAAATCTTACCCCCGAGTGACCTTGGCTGCCCATGAGTGATACCTACAGAGCTTTGAAAAAGTACAGGCACCCAGGCCCCAGCCCAGAGATTCTGATTCCACAGATCTATGGCCTTGTCCCCCAGGGCCTGAAATCTCTGCAGTTTCCTCAGCCACCCCAGGGATTCTGAGGTAAGATGCTGGGGTTGATGAGTTACGGTGACTTACTGCCCTGGCCCTTTAATAAGGCATTTGGGATGACAACACCACATCCACAGCCTGCAGACTTGATTTTGTTTTAGTCTGGAGAGAATACTGAAGAACATTTTAATCAGCTGCCAGTGGCCAAGAATCCCATGGTTTTCTACAAAAATCTGAATTTTCAGCTTTTCTTGAAAAATCATATTCTCCATCTATATCAGGCCCACATTTCTATCCGGCAGAAGTAGCTGGGGAGGAACACTGGGTCGCTTGTAGAGGGGCCTGTCTCCTGTCTGTGCCTCATCCCCCACCACCCCCTGTCATTCTCAACACTATGGCTGGCTGCAGGTTGCCTGTGAGCATCACACTTGTGTTTTCTGTCCTCTGTAAAAACAGCCTAACCAAAACGTGGAAAAAAAGTTAGACTAAGCAGCCTCATTTGTAAGACAAATTTATCTCCTTATCAGCCTTGTTCGCTCATTTCCATTATAAAAAGCTGGTCCCTTGGTATATGGTGTGTGTCCCTTGGCTACTAACTGTACAGGAGCACCAGGTGCCCCAAAGACCAGGAAAATGCAAAAGATACCCTCAAAATAGAGAAGTGGGCACAGGGAATCTATAACCCCAACCCTGGCATGGTGCTGAGAAAGTCCAAGCCAGGGGAAGAACTGGGCCATGAAGGAACTGCAATGAAAACATGCCTCATCAGAGAAGGGAGATGTTCCCTGATAGAGGGCGACACACCCAGTTGTGGAGATGGGGTGGGCATCTTGTAAGGACGATGTGACAGGGCCTCCAAGAAGTGGGGAAAACTAGAAGAAAGAGAAGCAGTCTTGGCATAGACGTATGTTTTGTGAAACAACGCAGTGACAGACATCATAATATACTCTCAAGTGCATGGGCTTTGAAGGTAGAAAGACCTGGGCTCAGGTCCCAAGTGGGTCACACAGCAGTTGTGTGATCTCAGTCATGCCATCTCTCTAAGCCTCAGTCTCCTTATCTGCATGGAGAACCCAGGCCAGAGAACAGAAGGGGAACAGCCCACGTTGAAGGGTGAAAATAGCAAAGAGACAGACAAGAAGACGACAGCAATTCTCCAAGTCTTTCATGAATGAATGTCACCAACAGCTCCCAGAGCATGATAACCAGAGCCAAGGCAGCCAAAGGCAAGAAGTTCAAGGGGCATTGATGAAAGCCGGGCTTGAAGGCCCCATATGGAAGAACAGAAGCTACTGGCACATGTTTAAGAACTGCGGTGTCCTCACATGAAGGGTGGGGCAGGTATGTGCTGGGAAAACGGCCCCAACAGTTTGAGACACTGTCCCTGGGGAGGGACTCATGACCTCATGGATGTACAGTCCTGGTCCTAACCCTTGCTCTAGACCCTGGGCAAATATTGCAAGATGAGACTTTTAGTTGAGTCATAAAGAAACATTTCATCAAATTCAAAAGCATGAATGGGGTTGGGTGTAGTTCAGTGGTGCAGCACTTGCCTGGCAAGCACATGGCAGTGAGTTCGATCCCCTAGCACTGCAGGAACAAAAGACCCATGAGTAGGGCTAAGTAACCTATGCTGTGCGTAAATGACATTAGGATTAGTGTGCTGTGGAGCTGGAATGTCTGTTTAAATCTCAGCTCCACTACACATAGCTATACTATAAACTGTGAGTACACAAAAGTTTACGCAGTTGCTGGCACTTAGCAAATGTGAGCCACATTGTGACTGAAAATTAGTAAGAGAAGTTCTAAATTCTCTTAGCTATTTCTTTTCTCTTATGTTTCTCCTTTTCTCTTTCATTTCACATGCCCGGTAAGTGGTCTATCTCTGAACTACATCTGCAGTCACCTTAGGGATTTATTTAAAAACTTCTTGTTTTGTCTCTGTGTAGTTAAAAAAATACTTATAGGAGGTTGTGACTTTGTTATTTTCTTGTTTTGTTCTGAGTTATTTTTATAATGAACTTGTGTGTTGTTTTGTCATTACAATATTTTTAAAGAGGGGGAGAGTGAATTAAAAATTTAATAACTGTCTCAGGGCTGCCTACAGGGGATCTTTGTGGAGACTTTGGTGCCTGAAACCAGCACTACCCAGTGCTGGTGAAGCCTAATTGCAGGTTCTAGACCATCTGTGTGTATGCAGAGCCTATAGGACTAGAGCTACCTTGGCTGGCCAGCCCCGGGAGTCACTCGGACAACAGTGTTTTGTGGCTGAATCTGTTCTGTTGGGTCTGCTCTGATGGGACTGAGCTCCTGTCACACTATTAAATACTTTGAATATCACCCCTGTGTGACAAACTGTCACCGTGAGGCTTCTACCAGAGAAACGCCAACAATGTGTTCACCTGACCTCCCTATCAAGAGCCTGAGCTAAAATTGAAAAATTCAAATGACCTGTAGCACATGCTAAGGGGAAAATAAGCAGAGCGGGAAGATAGGGTGGTTGTGTGAGCGACACATGCCTTGCTGTGAGCCTCCTCCTTGGTGTGCACAGTGCTGCCCCCACCAGCAGCACATTTTGTGGGGGGAGACAGGGAGCCCCAGCATCCCTGCAAGTCCCTAGTGAAGAAACAGTTAATAGCAAGCCCGGGAAGTGCTCTTTGGCCAATGAAGGGGACCTTTGGGGCAAAAGCCTTACAGATAGGTTCTAGGCTCAGAAGAAAAAAGAAGTCACAACCTCAGGTCAGAGATCCTGAGTAAGAGGAGCGGGAGAGGCCCCACGCCGCACTCCTACTGGGGACAACAGCGGCACACCGGGCAGTGTTTTGTGCTCAGGTCACTAGGGGACAGTGCCCAACCTCCACCTCCAGAAGAGGTCCAGGTTGCAAGACTCTCCAAGGAGCACTAAACCTTTGCATTAATCTTCTGCCCGGAAGTTTAATACAAACCGTTGTTCCGTGTGAAGTAACTGACATTCAGGATCTCAGTTCTCACGCGAATCCCATGAGGTCGGACCACCTCCCCCCACTTCCCACGGCTGCCAGGGGCTTGAACCCACTTCCGGCTAGGGGGTGTTCCCTGGGGGCACTTTCGGCAGCTCACTCCCAGACCCAGCTCATCCTCATCCAGCCTGAGAGTGAGACAAGCAACTTCTACATGCGACCGGCCCGGGGTCTAGCCTCAACCCGGATGCAGCCCCTCAGCCGGTCTCTGTGGCGATCCCCCGTGCAAGTCCATTCTGCGATTGTTTTCGAGGGCCTTTAGGAGCCGGAAAGCGGCCATCGGGGTTGGGTGCTGCTCGGTGTCGCCCCTCTGCACCGTGCGTCCGGCTGCATGACCAGATCTCGCACCCGCTAGGTCATCGCCCCACACACGCATGTAGTTCCCCCGGGGGCAGTCCAGTCCCCAGCCGGCCCATACACACCGCAGCCCCGTGCTCCCAATCCCGCTTCCCGGCACACGACGATGGCCGGAGTTGGAGGCAGTGGGCTGTCAGAGCCTGGCGAGGACCCTGGCGCCTTCACTTACGAGGCAGACAGAAGTGCACGGGCGCGGGGCTCGGCAGGTAACCCTGGCTGCCGCGCTAGGGGGAACAGACGGAATCCCCCGAGAGGAAGGCGCTCCGGGCACATGCCTGGAAGCCTGGGCCTCCAGGAAACCGAAGGAGGGCCGCGAGTTCGAGCGCAGCCAGGGTTCTTTAGCGACTCTGCGAGACCCAGTCTCAAAACAAAAACCTGAAACTAGGGCTGGGGGCGCAGCTCCGTCCGGAGGCCCCGGGCTCGTCCCTGCCACGGGGAGGAGCTGGGCCAGGCAGCGCTAGCGGAGGAGGCGCGCAGCGCTGCCTGGTGGGAAGCGGGGGCTCGTCCCGCAGAAAGGATAACTGCAGCGTGGGGTTCGGAAGAGCGGCCACCCACCTGGTGTGGGCCCGGGGGCGCCGGGCGCCGGCGCGCAGAGCAGGAGCAGCAGCGGGCAGAGCAGCGGCGCGCGGCCACTGGGGCCGGGGCAGCCGGGCATAGCGGGGCGGCCGCAGGCGACGGCAGTGCACGCGCCGGTCCCTAATGCAGCTGCGGCGTTCGGCGACAAGGCTGGTAAGGTCTGCGACCCAGGCCAGCTGCGAAGCTAAGAGACTGAGCAAGGACAAGGGAAAGAAGAAAGAAAGAAAGAAAGAAAGAAGGGGGCGCGCGCAGCCGCCTCCGCCCCGCCCCGGCCCCAGCAGGCTCCTATCTCAGCCCGCCCGGCTTCGCCCCGCCCCCGCGAGCTCCTATCCCTGCCCCAGTAGTGCCTCGCCCCGCCCCTGCCCCAGCCCTCCTGGCCCCGCCCCACAAACATCTCCCCGCCCCTTCCCCGCCTCGGCACCTTCGGGATCCTATCCGAGCCCCGGCTGGCCTAGCCCCGCCCCACTTTCCCCGCCCCCAGTCTTGGTCCGCCTCCTCATCCCGCCCATCTCTTCGCCTCGCCCCCCGCCTGTCCCGCCCCTCCCCATTCCTTGCCCCTCCTGCCCCATTCCTCGCTCCTCCCAGCCCCGCAAGCCCCGCCTCTCCCCGCTACTCGCCCCTCTCAGACCCACATGCTCTGCCCCTCAGCCCTGCCCCGCCCCGCCCCCTCCCTGTCCGTCCCCACACTCCTCGTTGCCTCCTCCCGACCTTGCACCACTCCCTATCCGTCCCGCCTCGCTCCTCCTCGCCCGCCCCTCTCTACTCCTTGCCCCCAACTCCACTCCTTGCCCCGCCCCGCTTTGTCCGAGCTCCTTGCTTGGGCCACGGTGGCGATTGCGCCTGCGCACCACCCTGGAGCCCTAAGGGGCTGGGCGCCCCCTGGGGGTGGGGCTGGGAGCGCCCTCTCGCTTGCGCCCTCTAGCGTCCCAGAAAATTCGCAGTTTGGAATTTCCGTCTGTCCCTAGACCCAATGCCTCGGGTGCTCCCACAGGCGGCCGCTGCTCTGGGAAGGGATAGGGGCTGGCCAGAGCTCTGGGTCGTCCCAGGGTCTGCGCGGATGACAACTCTGCGCTTGGCCAGACTGAGCCCTTGTGCTCCCCTGTCAGTTCCATGTCCACAGAATCTATGTCTGTATGTCTTAACATGGCTGTTTATTTTGCTGCTTAAATTGTTTATAATTTGGGCCTTTCAGAGAAACGATGTGATATTTAACCTTTTGTGAGTGACTTACTTCGGTTAGCATTATGGTCTCAAGATCCACCCACTTTCCTATAAATGACTCAGATTTATCCTTCTTTATGACTGTGTAGTACTTTACTGTGTATATACACCACACTTTGTTCATTTGTTGATGAGCGTATAGGCCACTTTGTGTTTTAACTATGGTGAGTTATGCTGCTATTAACATTGGCGTGCATGCACTATTCTGATGAATTTAGCCCTTTTGGGAAAGTGCCCAGGACAGGTATACCTGAGTCGAATCAAAGTAGTTGTACTAGTTTACATTCCTATCACCAATGTGGAAGCCTGCTCCTCCCACCTCACCAGCATTTGTTGTTTTTTGAGCCCTTGATAACAGTCATTCTTACCGGAGCAAGGTGGAATCTCAGTGTTGTTTTGTTTAGATTTGTGTCTTTCTAATGACTAAAAAATATTCAACATTTTTCATGTATTTTTTGGCCATTTGTATTTCTTCTCCTGTGCAATGTTCATTTCAATTTTTTTGATTGGAGTTTTCATTTTGGCAGTCTATTTTTTTCAGTTCTTTATATTCTAGATATTAGTCTTCTGACTGAGGAGTAACTGATACAATTTTTTGCCTATTTTGTAGATGGATTGCTCACTCTGTTGGTTGTTTCCTGTGCTATGCAGGAGCTTTTTAACTTGATATAATCCAGTTTGTTGATTCTTAGTATTATTTCTTGTGCAACTGAAGTTCTGTTCAGAACTTTGCCTAGGCCTATATCTTTAAGAGTTGTACCATTTTTCCAGTACATTCAGTGTCTCTGTTTTTATATCTAGAGCTTTGATCCATCTTGATTTAACTTTAATACATGATTAGAGGTATGGATCCAAGCTCATTCTTCTGCATATAAATAACTAGTTTTTCAAGCACCAGTTGTTAAAAAGGCTAGTATACATTACTGGCCCCTTTGTAAAAAATCAGCTGGCTGAAAGAGCTTGGGATGTTTTTTCCTGCATCCTATATTCTATTCCATTTGTTAATATATCTGCTTTTGTGCTAGTACCATACTGTTTTTACTACTGTAGCTTTGTAGTATAACTTTAATTCTAGGATTGTAATGCATCCTATCTTGCTGTTGTTGCCCAGGATTGCTTTGGCTATTCTGGGTCTCTTCTGGTTTCATATACATTTTAGAATTATTTTTTTCTAAGAGAGAAAAGCTGATGATATTTTGATGGGTATTGCACTAAATCTGTATATCATTTTCTTGATAATATGGCGATTTTGATGATGTTAGTTTTCCCTATCAAAGAACAGAGGATGTCTTTCCGTTTTCTGTCTTTCCTTTCAATCTCCTTTCTCAGGGTATTATAGTTTTCATTTTCCTTATAGATGCAGGGATGGTTCCTTGGTTATGTTAATTCCTAAATATTTATTTTTTTCTTGAAGCTATTATGAATGGTATTGTTTTCCTAATTTTTTCCTCAGTGGGTTCATTATTAGTCTATAGGAATGTTATTGATTTTTGTGTGCTCGTTTTGCTGAGTTTTTTAGCTCTAGTAGTTTCTCAGTGCAGTGGTACCTTGGTTTGTGAACTTAATTTGTCCCATGATTCTGGTCATGAACTGAATTGGTTGTGAACTGAATCAAATTTCCCCATAAGGTTTAATATAAATAAGGTTAATCCATTCTATATGTATGTATTTTTCAAGCCACAAAAATATGAAAGTACAGTACAGTATGAAGAGAGAACACTACCTTTGCTTGAGGTGACTTCTGGCAGGAGGACAGGAAGGTGGGTGAGGAGGAGGTTATTGTTTGGAGGGAGAGATCTTCTTCAGGGCTTTCCTCTTTTGTTTCTTAGCTGCAGGATCAATTCTGATGAAAAATCTGTCTGTCATCTGTGTTGTCCTGCACAGCATAGCTCTGCATAAATGAGACCCCATGTTATAGTTCATCAGATTCCACACTCTGTTACAGTTATGTTGGTGTGGTGCTTTTCAAAGAAATCCTGCCACTCATTCTATTTTTTCCATAGTGGATTTTATCACATCACTGTAACCTTCTCCCTGTCTTCCCCTTCCTCAGTGGAGTTCTCCTCAACAAGCACCTTCGACAGTGCTGCTCACTCTGGAGCTCAGCAAGTTCTCCCATTGTTAGCTCCTCCTTATGGTCCTCAACCTCCTCTATGTTGGCACCATCGATGTCTAGACCCATACTCGTGTCCATGGACACAGTCTCCTCCACTTCCTGTGCATCAGACCCATTAAAGTCACATTCAGTAACACATTCTGGCCAGTTTCCTCCAGGTCCAGTACATGACCTCTTCCCAGGCTTTGTCAATGAGGTTGATGGAGTGGAGGACATTGAAATGTTTCTTCCAGAAGTCTTTCAGCATCAAGGATAGCTCTTCAATGACATGAAAGCATCTGGTGAAGAGTGCCTTTGTGTATATCTTCTTGAAGTTGCAGGTCACTTGCTGGTCCATGGGCTGCAGAAGGGGTGTTGTGTTGTGGGGGGAGGAATTTGGCCTTTTAAAACCATACTCAGCACCTATATCATCCACCAAGGCTGGAGGGTGTGCTGGAGCATTATCTATCAGAAGAAAGCACCTTTAAGCAGTTGATTGTTAGAAAGGTATTTCTTAATGGTGGGTTTGAACACCTCATGCAGCCATTCCACAAACAATTGCCTTTTGACCCAAACTTTTGCATTGACCCCTCACATGACAGGCATCTGGCCTTGTTTGCATTCTGTTCCTTGAATGCATGAAGGATCTGGGAATGGTACATCAGCAGTAGCTTAATCTTCAGATTGGTGCTTGTATTCACACACAGCAAAAGGGTCAATTTATCCTTCATGGCCTTGAGCCCCAGCAGTGCATTTTCCTCCTGGGTGACATAGGTTCTGTCTGGCATTTTCTTCCAGAAGAGCCCTGTTTCATCACAGTTGAACACTTGTTGGGTGATGTATCCTTCTGCCTGCATGAATCCTGTGAATTTGTTCTTGTAAGCTTCTGCAGGGGCCTTGTCAGAACTGGAAGTCTCACCATATCTTATAACACTGTGGATGCTGCTTCTCTTGTGGAATCTGCCACACCCACTTTCTACTGGCTTTAGATTCATCACTTGTGGAGAGAACTACAGACCAAGCTCCTTAATGAACACAGATGCAAAAATCCTCAATAAGATAATGGCAAACAGAATGCAGCAAATCATCAAAAAATTATACACCATGATCAAGTAGGATTCACCTGAGGAATGCAGGGATGATTCAACATACACAAATCAATAAATGTAAAACACCATATTAACAGAGCCAAGGACAAAATCATATTATCATCTCAATAAATGCAGAAAAAGTATTCAACAATGTCCAATACCCATTCATGATAAAAACCCTACAGAAAATTGTAATAGAGGGTATGTATCTCAAACTGATAGAAGCCATCTATGATAAACCAACAGCCAACATCACACTAAATGTGGTCAAAAACTAAAAGTTTTCACTCTAAAATCAGGAACAAGGCAAGGATATCCACTGTTACCACTCTTATTCTATATATTTCTGGAAATATTAGCCAGAGAAATTAGGCATGAGAAAGAAATAAAACAAATAATGATAGGAAAGGAAGAAGGTAAGCTATCATTATTTGTGGGTGACATGATACTCTATAAAGAAGAGCACAAAAACTCCACCAAAAGACTTCTAAATTTAATAACCAAATTTAATAGCACAGCTGTATACAAAATTGTCACTCAAAAATCAATAGTATCCCTATACACAAACAAACTCACTGAGAGAAAAATTAGGGAAACAACACCTTTCAAAATAGTATCTAAAAAAAATGAAATACCTAAGCATCAATCTAATGAAGGAAGTAAAAGACCTTTGCATTAAAAACTTCAGTAGTCTGAAAAAAGAGGTTGAGGAGGATATTAGAAATTGGAAAGATAGCCCTTGTTCTTGGATAGACAGAACCAATATAGTGAAAATGGCCATACTTCAAAAATTGTTATACAGATTTAATGCAATCCCAGTCAAAATTCCAATAGCATATCCCACAGAATGAGAGAAAACTATCT